ATGTTGCTCTTGTGCAAATTCGAATCGAACTTGTCGGGCTGACGAACAGTCCGGGGTAAAGTGCGCCGGGCGCTCGCAAGAAAAGCAGCTGGGCTGTTCAAGGGCTCGCCAGCCAAAGGTTCAAACTGAGCAGCCACAGCAGCTTCGTCCAATCCAAAGTTGCACACAAGTTGCACGTGGAGTTCCAGCAGCACTCCTGATTTCCTTCGCTGAGCCTGTAAGCGCGCTGCTGTCGGCCTGCGCTGCTCGCGTCGCGGGACAACGGCGTCCTGGCCAGGTAGTGAAGTCCAGCGAGCTGGTGCACCGTGACACGGGGGCACGAGTGCTCTGGGCTGTCACCGTGCACTAGTGGCGCGACGATCTGGAACGCCGTCTTGGGCGCCGCCTTGGGAGGCATCGCAATGCCTCCGTGGTCTGGAACCTCCCTGCACTGGGCCTTCTGTCTCCCCCGCGACGGTGCACTCACAGGGGCACTTGCTGTCTCTCGGTTGTCTCATCGCGCCTGCGGGTGCGTTGGGCCAAGTCCCCGAGAGGATGCAGAACAGCCACACGCACAAGCTGCTCAGGGCACGGAGGCTGGTACCGAGGCGGAGGGCGAGAGACATGCGGATGTGCGTCCGCATCCACATCCATCGTGGATCGCGATCTGGGATCGCTCCCAGCTTTCTACCAACTAAAATGAAGGGGCCCTCGGACACACAAATAAATACACACAAATAAAAGGACTCCCCATATTTTCTCATACTTTCTAGGTTTTCGTCTTCCCCGCCACTTCCCATATGTTCCCATATTTCCTGGGGATCGACGATTAATTGTGTCTGTGTGTTTTTCCCGGAAAGGGCTCGAGCCCAGGGTTCTCTTTTAGATGGTCTTCCCCCCGGTTTTTACTTGAAGGGGGCCGGCGGAATTCTTGTGCGATAAATTACGAGGTCGAAGGGGGCCGGCGGATTTCAATTGTGAGGACGAAGGCCATTTTTCGCCACCCCTCACGCAGATCGTGCTCTTGGAATTTTACTGCCTTTAAGGAAACCTCGATATTTCACAGGTGAAGTCAACTTTTTTCCGACATCGACTTTAAACGATAAAAAACTAAGTAAACGCGTTCGCTCGATAAATAACGAGGTACCGCGGCCTCCGGAACGGCGCTGGGAACGGAGTTTTGGATTCTTGAAGTTGCATAAGTTCGGAAATAACAGAAATCCCCTGTGTTTTTTAACCCGGACCCCGCCGATCTGCGTGAGGTGTGGCACGGAATACCAGAAATGTGTCAAATCCCATGTGTTTTTGGACCCTGACCCCACCGATCTGCGTGAGGGGTGGCGCGGAATTCCAGAAATGTGGCAAATCCCATGTGTTTTTGGACCCTGACCCCGCCGATCTGCGTGAGGGGTGGCACGGAATTCCAGAAATGTGGCAAATCCCATGTGTTTTCGGATCCTGACCCCGCCGACCTGCGTCAGGGGTGGCACCGAATTTCAGAAATGTGGCAAGTCCCATGTGTTTTCGGACCTTGACTTCGCCCAGGAGGGCCCAGGAGGCTCCAGGAGAGGCCCAAGAGGTCCAAGGAAGACCCAGGAGGGCCCAGGAGCCCTTACGAGGGATCGTGGCCCTGGGAGCGCTGACATAGCGCAATTCATAATTTGTTGAGGATGGCTCGAGCGAAACGCTGGTTTTGCAAAATTTGAGCAGGGGCTTCGTGGGGGGCCAGAATTCAGAGGATGTATCAGGCGAAATGCTTCTTTTCGTGTCCCGCTCACAGGAATTCCAAGGATGTCTCGCGCGGGCCGCGTCCCGCGCGCAGGAATTTCGAGGATGTCTCGACTAATTCGCTTGCTTTGTCCGGATTTCTTAGAATTTGGGCAGGATGTCTCGAGCGAAACGCTTGTTTTCATAATTGTCTGAGGATGTCTCGAGCGAAACGCTGGTTTTGCAAAATGTAGGGGATGTCTCGAGCGGGGGCTTCGTGGGGGGCCAGAATTCAGAGGATGTCTCAGGCGAAATGCTTCTTTTCGTGTCCCGCTCGCAGGAATTCCAAGGATGTCTCGCGCGGGCCGCGTCCCGCGCGCAGGAATTTTGAGGATGTCTCGACTAATTCGCTTGTTCCCCATATCCTAAGATGGGGTTCTTGTTATTATTTGGACGCCTCCTACTGCCTCTTCCTCCTCCTCTTTCCTCCTCACCTCCTCATACTCAGACTTACTCATACTCAGACTTACTCCTACTCAGACCTACTCATACTCAGACTTACTCACACTCAGACATACTCATACACAGACTTACTCATACACAGACTTACTCACACCCAGACGTACTCATACACAGACTTACTCATACCAGACTTACTCATACACAGTATTACTCATACTCAGACTTACTCATACCCAGATGTACGCATACACAGACTTTCTCATACACAGACCTACTCATACCCAGACTTACTCATACACAGACTTACTCATACACAGACTTACTCATACTCAGGCATAACAATACTCAGACCTACTCATACTCAGACTTTCTCAACACATCAGATTTGGAGGATGTCTCAAGCGGGGCGCTGGTTTCAGCACCCCTAAGGGGAGCCGCCAGGGGTGGTTGCACGGGCTCGTTCGCGGGCATGTTGTGGGGATGTCTCAGGCGGTTTGCCTGTTTCTGGGCTCAACATCCTTCGCTTGGAGAGCAGATTGTGAGGATGTCTCAGGCGGGGCGCTGGTTTCAGCACCCCTAAGGGGAGCCGCCAGGGGTGGTTGCACGGGCTCGTTCGCGGCCATTTTGTGGGGATGTCTCAGGCGGTTTGCTTGTTTCTGGGCTCAACATCCTTCGCTTGGAGAGCAGATTGTGAGGATGTCTCAGGCGGGGCGCTGGTTTCAGCACCCCTAAGGGGAGCCGCCAGGGGTGGTTGCACGGGCTCGTTCGCGGCCATTTTGTGGGGATGTCTCAGGCGGTTTGCTTGTTTCTGGGCCCAACATCCTTCGCTTTCGGAGCAGATTTGGAGGATGTCTCGAGCGAGGCGCTCATTTTCACCCCCCAGGTGGGCCAGATTTTGAGGATGTCTCGATCGGTTTGCTTGTTTTGGTGGCCAGGCTCGTGGGCGCAGATTCTTCTCAGGATGCCACAGGAGGCTCCAACAGGCTCCAGGAGGCCCCAGGAGACCACATGAGGTCCCAGGAGGCATCAGGAGGCCACAGAAAGACTCAAGAGGCCACAGGATGTCCCAAGAGGCTCCAGGAGGCCCCAGGAAGCTCCAGAAGGCCTCAGGAAACCACAGGAGGCCCCAGGAGGCAACAGGAAGCGCCAGGAGGCCTCGGAAGGCAACAGGAGGCCCCGAGAGGCCCCAGGAGCAGGAGGCCTCAGAAGGCAACAGGAGTGGCTCCAATCCCATGTGTTTTACGTATGCTCCTATCGATTGGGCCTCACCTGGAGCACGATTCTTTGATGTTCTACGTATGTTTCTATAGATGGTCCTTCTCCTGTGTACACATTCCTAAATGTTTTACTCATGTTCCTATGTATTGGGCCTCTCCTGGGGCACGAGTCCTTGGTGTTTTACGCGTGTTCCTATAGATTGCCCTTCTCCTGTGGCTCTAATCCGCAATGTTTTATGTACGTCTGTTGCTATAGATTGCGCCTCTCCTGGGGCACGAAACCTTCCTAGGAGGTCCCAGGAGGTCCCAAGAGGCTCCTTGAGACCCCAGGAAGCCCCAGTAGGTTTCAGGAGGCCCCAGGAGGCCCCAGGCTCATGCACAGAGACGCGCTCGTACTACTGAGGCTCATTCACACTCCAATCCATTCGCAGTTAGATTGATGTCCAGACCGTCACAACTGAAGCCCGTTAATATTCGAAAGCTCTTGCGCCTAGACATTCACGGCGGACAGGTCCATGCGAGTAGATGCACATATGGGGAGCTCCACGCAGTGAATAATGTTGTCAGGATTTCTTAAAATTTTGGCAGGATGTCTCGAGCGAAACGCTTGTTTCTCATAATGTGTGGAGGATGTCTCGAGCAAAACGCTGGTTTTGTAAACTTGGGGATGTCTCGAGCGGGGGCCTCGTGGGGGGCCAGAATTCAGAGGATGTCTCAGGCGAAACGCTTGTTTTCGTGTCCCGCTCGCAGGAATTTCAAGGATGTCTCGCGCGTGCTGCGTCCCGCGCGCAGAAATTTTGAGGATGCCCCGTAGCGCGTCCCCTTGGCACGTCCTACGGTGCGACCCCATGGCACGTCCCTTGGCACGTCGCCTGGCGCGTCCCTTGGGACGTTTCGCGACGCGTCCTCCTGGCATGTTCCCCTGTCAATTAGCTCTGGGGCAGCTACTATGTGTTTAGGCAGCTCGAGCTTCAGATCCAGATCAGTTCGGTCAGGACTCGGATGCAAAGGAAGACTCGATCCACGACGCTATAGAGCACAACCGCGGCATGGCACATCGCAATTCAGCACGGTGCAGCACAGTACAGCCCTCGGCACGGTACATCAAGATCGATACAATCAGCATTGCACTTGCCCGTCACCCAATCAGGTGTCTTTGAAAACGTTGCCATGCGTTGCATTTCTATGTTCCTTTCCGGGTTCGTGGGTCGATCACGTTTCCCCTCCTGATAAAACTGCGGGGGTTGGATCCGGTGAGACAAGTGGCACGCCGGCAATGCAATGTGCGGACCCTCTCTCCTCTTCAAAGGGGACGCTGTGGCGCCAGCGCTGGAGCCCCAACGGCAACCAGGCATCCTGCTCGAGTTGTAAGAAAGGCAGGAGGGAAGAGAGAGGAGAGAGGAGAAAGGAGGAAGGGGGAGAGGAGGAGAAGGAGGAGGAGGAGGAGGAGGAGGAGGAGGAGAGGAGGGCCGAGAAGGAGAAGAGGGAGAGGAGAGAGCAGGAGGGGGGAGAAGAAAGCGGGGACGGGGGGGCCAGAGGGGGAGGGAGGACGGTGAGCAGCAGCAGCAGCAGCAGCAGCAGCAGCCGGTGGTGCCTCGGCGCCCCCCGACGGCCATGTCTCGACAGACTGAGGCATTCTTTTTCTTCCCTCCGAAACACCTGTCTGCCACGACGTGGCGCAACGCGGCAGCGCACTCCGCATCGGGAAGAGGCTGCGCCCGCGCACCGGCAGCAGCTTGGGCGCTGATCGAAGTGGCCCTGGCCCACCGTGTCCTGCAGGGCTGCCGGTGAGGTCCTACAGCGGCCCCCTCCAAGTCGCCAGGGCGAGCCCCGGAGGGGGCGGCCACGGGTTCCCAAACTTGTGCACGCGTGCGCGTTCCCCAAACAGCGCCTGCACTCTAAGGTTGTTGGTCGGCTTTCAAAGGCCTGGATGCGCAGACCGCGGTGAGCAATTCCCGCTCGGTGCCCTGTGATTGGTGCCCCATGGTCCCCGGTGGGCCGCAGTCGACCGTCGCTCAATGGCCTGCGGCTTGAATCCTATAAAAATCTGTCTCGAATTCCGTGTGGGCCAGAGTCGATCGTTCCCGCTCTGCTCCCCGCGCTTGCTACCATATTACGATTAATGATACTAGTCGACTCTTCTTCTTCTACTACTACCTACTACTACTACTACTACTACTACTACCACCACCACCACCACCACCACCACCACCACCACCACTACTACTACTACTACTACTACTACTACTACTACTACTACTAATAATACTACTACTAATACTACCACCACCACCACCACCACCACCACCACCACCACCACCACCACTACTACTACTACTACTACTACTACTACTACTACTACTACTACTACTACAACTACTACTACTACTACTACTACTACTACTTAATACTACCCACTACTACTTTTAGATACTTAATACGACTAATACGACTACTACTACTATCAGACTACCAACCTCTACTCTGCGCTGTGCTGCTTTGGCTGATGCTGCTGCTGTGCCTAGCTGCTGCTGTGCTTTTTTTTTTTTACTGCATGCTGCTTATACTACTACCTAATACTACTACTACTACTACATTCTAATCTACCACCACTACTATACTATACTACTACTACACTACACTATACCACAATTACTAATACTACTACTACTACTACTACTACTACACTACTACTACTACTACCCTACTACCACTACGGCCTACTACTACCACTACGACTACGACTACGCCTACGACTACGACTACGACTACGAATACGACAACGAACTACTACTACTACTTACTACTACTACTGATACTGCTACTACTACTATCTACACTACTACTAAGACTCTATTACTACTACTTTCTACTTCTACTTCTACTTCTAATTCTACTTCTACTTCTACTTTCTACTACTATACTACTACTACTACTACTACTACTACTACTACTACTACTACTACTACGACTACTACTACTACTACTACTACTACTACTACTACTACTACTACTACTACTACTACTACTACTACTACTACTACTACTACTACTACTACTACTACTACTACTACTACTACTACTACTACTACTACTACTACTACTACTACTACTACTACTACTGGCGCTGTGTTGCACGCGGCTGCTGTGGTGTACGCGGTGTGGTGTACACAGGCGCTGTGGTGCACGCAGGCACCGTCGTGTACACAGGCGTTGTGGTGCAGATCGCCACCGACATACTGGTGCTACCCGTCCACGGTCATTCCTAAGCATTCCCAGACGCCGCTGGCGCGAAACGTGACGTCATCGGCCCCCTCCAGCCCCCCAAATGATTGCCGTCATCGGCCCGGAATAAAATTATCCTGGCGAAGGACCCAACCATATGCAACTGTGAATAGCGCAGTTGTGAAAACCGTATTTGGTGGAGCTCCGTATGGGGCCACGAAACGTGTGAGGGTGGGCCACAACGGGGGCGACGCCCACATGTGAGCACTGCCATTGGGGCATTAGGTGGAGCCCCCTATGGGGCCACGAAACACGTCCAGGGTGTGCCGAAACGGGGGTGATGCCCACATCTGAGCACTGCCATTGGCGCCTTCGGTGGTGGAGCTCCTTATGAGGCCACGAAACGTGTGAGGGGTGTACCGACAAGGGGGTGACGCACACTTGCGAATTGCACGACAGGGGCATTTAGGTGGAGCTCCCTATGCGGCCACGAAACGTGTGAGGGGTTTGCCAAAATGTGGCGGCGGCGCCATGCGAGCTGCGCCACTGGGACCTTAGGTGGAGCTCCCTATGGGGCCACGAAGCGTGTGAGGGGTGTGCCAAAATGGGGCGGCGGCGCCATGCGAGCTGCGCCACTGGGACCTTAGGTGGAGCTCCCTATGGGGCCACGAAGCGTGTGAGGGGTGTGCCAAAATGGGGCGGCGGAGCCATGCGAGCTGCGCCACTGGGGCCTCACGTGGAGCTCCCTACGGGGCCACGAAGATGTGAGGGGTGTGCCAAAATGGGGCGGCGGCGCCATGCGAGCTGCGCCACTGGGGCCTCACGTGAAGCTCCCTGCGGGGCCACGAAAATGTGAGGGGTGTGCCAAAATGTGGCGGCGGCGCCATGCGAGCTGCGCCGTTGGGGCCTTAGGTGGAGCTTCCTATAGGGCCACGAAACGTGTGCGGGGTGTGTTAAAACAGAGACATGATGAAGGCAGGGGCAAGGACTGGGAGAAGGGAGGAGGGGGAGGAGGGAGGAGGAGGAGGGAGGAGGAGCAGAAGGAGGAGGCGGGAGGGAGGGAGGGACGCGGAGCGCTGTCTCTTCAAAACGAGGACCCAACACCACAGGATGGTTGGGAAAAACCGGCTCCCGCTGCGTCCGCGCGCACGACGACGATGAGCGACGACCAACGAAGGACGAGCGACAACGACGACGACGACGACGACGACGACGACGACGACGACGACGGCGGCGACGACGACGACGACGACGACGACGACGACGAGTGCGGGCCAGACTCCAATGCGGACACCTATGCGGATCACGATGCGCACGGCGCCCGGAACGCGCTGGCTGGGGAGGGAGCGTTACGTCATAAAGGGAGGGGGCCGGGGCCAAGACGCCCGTCATGCCCCAAGCAATAAAGAAACGCGTTCCAAGAAGTACCGAGCGGGAACGCCGTTGTTGTAACATGGTGGGTCGTTTGCGGCGCCGAGGCAACAGCGCCGATCCTGCGTAACAGGCGACGAAGTATCGAGCCGGAGCGCTGATGTGGTCGGAAAGCGAGCTTTCGGCGCCGAGGCGAGACCGCCGATCCTGCGTAAAAGGCGAAGATGTATCGAGCCAGAGCGTTGGTTTGGTGGTAAGGCTGGCTATATGCGGCGAGCAAGAGCACCAGGCCTGAGTAAAACAGGAGGAAGTATCGAGCCAGAGCGTTGTTGTTGTTGCTGTTGTTGGGGAGCCGGTTTGGCGAAACCCCGAAACGCCTGAGCGTGAGCGCCGATTTCATAGGAAATGCAGCCGGCGTCTAGGCGAGAGCGCCAGGGCAGATCTAAGGAGTCCAACAATAACACGTGTTCAATAATTAAGGGTCAGCAGCAGCAACAACAACAACAGCAACAACGAAAACCAGAATAACGGCAACAACAAGAACAAGAGCAAGAACAAGAACAAGAACAAGAACCAGAACAGCAACAACAACAACAACAACAATCACTTTACCCGAACGCTCAGTGTTCTCACCAGTGCCAGGGTTCTCATGCGACGCCAGCCAATACCCCCACTTTGTGGGGGGGCAGTGCAAGCTCTACCAAATATCCACACGACTCTTCGCCACCACCCACACCCAGCTTCCCGCCCTATGACGTTCGGACACTTCACTTCGTGGCCTGCGGACGACCGTGGCTACTACACTGGCGTGGAGTACACACCCACAGAAGTTGTTAAGCCTACGTTCGTACACCCACAGAAGTTCTTAAGCCTTGTTAACCCACAGAAGTTGTTAAGCCTTCCACAGAACATCCGAGGGCGCAACCTATGGCGCAACCGCAAGGGATTGTGGCCCCTGGCAGGCGCGCGAACCCCGTTGCAAGAGCGTGCGAAAGTAGCTCGCGCGAGCTCATGTAACATAAATGTTGGAAAACCATTGGTTTTTTTTTAGGATTCGGACAGCGCGCGCGGGTAGAAATTTTGAAAAGTCGTGCAGGTGTTTTTCGAGGACCTACGGTGCGATTCGTGTGATTTTATGATGCGCGGTGCTAAAATTCTTAAGAAGCCCAATGGTTTTTGGAGATTTCGGCGTGCGCGCGCGAAGAAAAAACGAATGTGTCCCGCATGGTATTATTTGACAGGGATGATGGCCCTGGCAGGTGCGCAACCGTTGTCGCAGAAGTTCGAAAAAGTTGCTCGCAAAAGCCCGTTTGACAGAAATGTTTAAAAAGTGTTGGGTTTCCTACGAATCCGCAAGAGCGCGCGGGATGAGATTTTGACATTTTTTTGTTGAAAAACCATTGGTTTTTTGATGTTTTTATGTTAAAATCGCTCCGAACACTAAGCTTTTGGAAGGATTTCGTCTTGCGCGCGCGAATGTCCACTTTACCTTATTTTTTGCAAGGGATTCTTGAAATTTGATTATATTAGAACAAGAAATGTCATTTTATAGTGTTTTTTGCAAGGGAAAGCGGGGGGGAACAAAACAACCGGATCTTGATCACATCGAATTACCTGAGGCTTCCTCACGAAAATGATGAAAATGTAGCTGCGGCCTAGGCGGCGCAGGGGGGCCGTGCACCAGGGGTCCCAACAATAATTATTCTTTAGAATTAATAATGTTCAACAACAACAACAACAACAACAACAACAACAACAACAACAACAACAACAACAACAACAACAACAATTACTAGCACGTGGGGACACTCCGTTCTCACCAGTGCCAGGGTTTTCATAGGAGGCGGGCAATACCCCCACTTTGTGGGGGGGCCGGTTCAAGCTCTACCAAATTTCCAAACGACTCTTCGCCACCACCCACACCCAGCTTCCCGCCCTATGACGTTCGGACACTTCACTTCGTGGCATGCGGACGACCGTGGCTACTACACTGGCGCATGGTTTCAATGACTTCTTGTGGTAACATCTTGTGGAAACTAGCTTAGTATACGACGACGACGATTTGAAGGGCCTACGGTGCGAAAAATGATTTTATGTTGCGCGGTGCTAAAATTCCTACGAAACCCAATGGTTTTTGAA